TACCTGCGCCGACCCTCTGTAGCCGCTCTGCAGCTCTCTCCCCGCCCACCCCCTCCTCCTTCGTCTCCCTGCAGCCGTGGGGGGGAGGGTATGGGGGTGGCGGGTGTTGGAGTGATGGGTAGTGTGCTTCCCTTCCCCTCCTCCTCCTTTCGTTCCCACTGCTGCAGCTGCCGCTGGGGGGGAGGGTGTGAGGGTGTGGGGGAGCTGGGGGAGTGGCACTGGGGTGGCGGGTGTGAGACCAACCAGCAGCCGTCCCTTCACCTCTCCTCTCTTCCCCCCTCTGCTGCTCCTGCAGCAGTGTGGGGGGGAGGGGGAGGGGGTAGGGTGAGGAGATGGAGGGGGTAACCAGCCAGAGCCAGCCCGCCTCCTCACTCTCCCTGCTGCCCCTCCTGTCGTTGGGGGGGAAGAGAGCCAGGAATTTCTTGCTGTCGCCTACTGTACCTGCTCTGTTACCGTACCTGCTGTTGCTGTTGCTTGTGTACCCCTGCAGGTTGTGTTCTGCACAAAATCTTGCTGCAGGCAGTTATGGGGGAGTGTCAAAATTTATATGTAACTGCCTGTAGCTGTAGTTTAGTGTAGTTATTATCAACTGTTGGTGGTGCACCTTCTTTGCATGCTCTGTTTACTATATGTACCCTAGCACTATAGTGAACATTCACCTTTCCAATTCTCTCGACACTCTCAACCTTGGCACAAACTTATCGTCTTCCTCTTGGCCTAGGCTACTAAGCCTAGGCCGCCTTAAATCTCAACTACCTCTTAAGCTCGTATTCTAACAGCACCTATTTCGCAGGTGCTCGTAGATGATTGGCAGGCTAAGCCTCGTCACCTGAACAGCGTACGCACCAAGTCATCCTCGTGCTGACAGCTCCACCTGATCCGCCACGTCGACCTCGGGATACCACCACCGAGGTCGGACTCGCCAACTTTGCCTGGGCGACCGTCGCACTCCTCCGCAGAAGTTCGTCACCCAAGTAACCTGGTCGACTTGGCAACCACGTCGACTAGCTGCTCCCGTACATGCCCGTCGACCTCCCAAGTCGGTGACCTTGCAAGTCGGCGCCGACTTCCGGGTCGACGTGCCACATCCCTGACCACCAAGTCGGCGGCATAGTATTGGCCCCGTGCAAGTCGACCAAACCCGTCGACCAGCTCGCCCAAGTCGGCGTCGCCCACTGCAACAAGTCGGCTATACCTCCTGTACACGCAACCACGAAGTCGGCTCCGTCGAAGCGAGAACGGGGCCAACAACAACTCCCGTTGACAGAAATCTGGCCCCCTTTCCTACACTGGTCCACCGAGAGCTCGTGTTAAACATACTAGCTGACAAAGTTTGAAGAAAGAAAGAGGATTGAACTAGCAGAAATGGGGATACAAATAGCAAACCCTAGAAGGGTTGTACTCGCTATAGAGCACCCCACTACAGGCTAGAACATAAGAATAACATTCTGACAAGGGGGGGGGGGGGGGGGGGGGGGAAGGCGGTGTGGTGAAAAGGGCCCACCACGGGCCTGGTTGGAGGGCGGGGCCGCGACAAGGGGCGGGGCCGCGACGAGCGGGGCGGGGCCGCGACGTAGGGCGGGGCCGCTTCGAGGGGCGGGGCCGCGACGCAGGGCGGGGCCGCTTCGAGGGGCGGGGCCGCGACGCAGGGCGGGGCCGCGACGTAGGGCGGGGCCGCGACGTAGGGCGGGGCCGCGACGAGGGCGGGGCCGTGAAGTAGGGGCGGGGCCGCGAAGGGTCCCCGTCGCCCGTCGCGACGCCTCCAGAAGGCGACGTGGCGACCGACGGGGCAGAAGCCCGCCGCGCGCCTCGGGGCGCACAGCGGGCAAAGAACCGCCGCGCGCCTCGGGGCGCACGGCGGGAGGAAAAAGTAGCAGCGGAAGCGAGGTGGTAACCCACCCACAGGATCGATCCAAGGGGATCGACCTGCTCTGATAGCATGACAAAGTTTGAAGAAAGAAAGAGGTTTGAACTAGCAGAAATGGGGATACAAATAGCAAACCCTAGAAGGGTTGTACTCGCTATAGAGCACCCCACTACAGGCTAGAACATAAGAATAACATTCTGACACTAGCACAAGATGGTAGATAATTCAATCCAAAAAACGGCATTCTGTACCAGATACGGCACCTAAAATACTTGGTGATGACGTTCAAACTCTTCAACGCACAAGCGACATGAATCATATGTTACGGCCCCCGCTAGACGGATGCGTAGTAATGTACATGGATGACATTATCATCTACGTGAAACTGTTAGAAAGCAACTTCGCCCTGAAGAAGCTGCAGTTTCTCGGGCACATGGTGAGTGCTAAGGGCTTATACGTTGTTGGGTGCAAAATATTATTTTTGCACTGCAACCAGCCTCCTGCATGACATTATGCATTTTGTGTGTGTTATATGTGCATTCATTTTCGCATTTCGTTTCATGTGTTGTTTCTGTGGGATCATGATCAGTCATGGCGGATCATGACGAGTCATGTTTGTTCATGTCGGCTCATGTACGATCATGTCGTTCTTGCTTTTATTATTGGAATTCTACTTCTACGTACTGACGAGAGTAGAAACACAACGAAGTGCTGCCGAAACTCTGCTCGACCAGAACCCTCACTCTACAAGCTACGTTGAGCATAACTACTCACTTGTTTTCTACGCCCTTGGCTATGAGGTGACATGCTGTCACACTCGGGGGGTTATAAGTGATGTTAAGTGTTGCCAAACTTACGCTCGTGAGCTGAGTTTAATCGCTTCCGCATAGTACTTCGACATAACACGTGGTATCAGAGCTGGTCCTTATCGTTTCGGACGTACCCAACGATGGGAGAGACTGGTGAAGAAGGGAACTCAGCCCCTGTGAGCAGTGGTAACCAGGAATCTGGAGTATCCGCGCCTAGGGGAGCACGGACGGACCAAGGCCCGCTGCTAAGGGGAAATGCTGAAGAACTTACAGTTGACAAATTTAGTGGCGAAGGGTACGACGTCTGGTCCTGGAAGATGCAATTTTTTTTCGGCAGATAGGACTTCTCAAAGTCATGATCGGTAGTGAAAAGTGCCCTAGCAATCCGGAGCTCCAGGGCGATTGGGATGAACGTTCATCAGCAGGATACTATATCCTTTCTCAGAGTTTAGATCTCGCCCAACGCCAGCATATCATGCACCTTCTCCCAGAGGATGAGTGCGGACCCAAGGCGTGGGCCGTGCTTAAAGACCTTCATGCACCAACATCAGTTGTAGCCACCCTTATGCTTGAGAGAGAGCTCTCCACTCTGCGCCTCAGTGAAGGAGAACCTGTTCAGCCCGTCCTGGACAAGCTTAGGGACCTCTTCGCCAAATTAGCCATTGCCGGTATCACCTACCCCGAACAAACCAAGTGTGTGAAGATGTTGTCGCTGCTGCCGGAGTCTTGGATGGTCTTCACCAGCGGACTCAGTCTTCCCCAAAACCAGAGCCTTTGGACCTTGGAGTGGATTCGTACTAAAATCCTTGAGGAGGACTTTCGGAGGCGTCAGTTGAGGGGAAGTGAAGAGGGGAGCAGCAGCTATGCCATGCAAGGAGGAAAACGGGGTGGAGGCAAGAAATGGCAAGGGGCTGGAAAAGGAGCTGCAAAGGATGAGGAGCTCTCCAACCAGCAAGGCGGCAGAGGAGCAGGACGTGGTGGAGGCAGAGGTGGCAGGGGTGGTGGAAGGGGACCTGGGAGGATGGAGTGCAAATGCTGGTACTGTGAGAAAGTGGGTCACCCGTGGTTTAAATGCAAGACTAAACCCACCTGGTGGACCCCCTCCAGCAGGACTCAAGATGGGAGCGGCGCCGCAGCGGTTGCCGATGATGAACCGACCAAACAGGAGGAGAGGGAAGCCGGTCAGTTCTTCCACGTTAGAGAGCTGGATGAGGACCCAGTGGTCTCCCATGCTGGAGCTGCACTGCACCCGCTCAACACGTGGATTCTAGATACAGGAGCGGCATGGACCATGACTCCAAGGGCCGACCTCCTTGACAAAGTAGGGACTGCACCAATTGCGAAGGTGAAGTCGGCATCCGGGCATGGTCTCAAGGTGACGGGGGTGGGACGTGCTGCATTCAAAGGAGCCGATGGCAAACCAGTGGTGCTAAATGACGTGCTTCTTGTCCCTGAACTTAAAGCTAACCTCATCTCCCTCAGAAAACTAGGCAAGTGCGGGGTCAGCACCTCCACCAAAGGAGCCAATACATTTACGGGGCAGCTGGGAAAGCGGGTGTTGTGGGACCTCCACGAGAGCCGTGACATCTGCAACTCCTTGTGGCAGCTTCATGTGATGACATGGGGCAAGGGAGGTGGATCCGAGGAGGAGTGCAACGCTGTAGTTGCGGAGGAGCTGAAGGTTTCAGCGAGGAGCGATGAAACGGACTGGATGACAGCTCACCGTCGTCTCGGGCACATTGCCATTCCCACACTTCAGCAATTGCAAAAGGAGGAAGGGGTTAAGGGACTGAAGCTGACAGGTGCAGCAACAACCCATAAATGTGAGACTTGCTTGCTAAGCAAGTTCACTCGGTTCCTGTTCCATACAACCGAGGGAGGCGGCAAGAAACTGCTGGAGCTGCTGCATATGGATGTGGTGGGGCCGCTACCGGTTGTGGGGGAGCGTGGTGGGAGGTACTTCCTCACCATCATGGATGATTGGAGCCGAGTCACCTGGACTTACCCAATCAAGAAGAAGGACCATGTGCCATCCACCATACGCGATGAATGGCTGCCGTTAGTGGAGTGTTGAGATACTAAGCATAGGTGGGCTTAGGAGCCATAGTTTAGTTAGGTTCTTAGAGATCGAGTTTAGGGTTGAGGAGAGTGTCGAGAAAGTTGGAAAGGAGAAAGGTGGTTTCACTATAGGTTTGCAAGAACATATAGCAAAGGAAACAAAGAAGGTGCACCACCAAACAAAGCTTATAATAACTATACTAACTACAGCTACAGGCAGTTACAGATATATCCTGACACTCCCCCATAACTGCCTGCAGCGGAAGCTAATGCAGAGACACCCCCTGAAGGGGTACACCAAGCGCAGCAGAAGGAGAGGGCAAGTGAGGAGGAGGGACTATATGAGGAGAGGCTGCTGGCAGGTGAAGCTGCTGGCTCCAAGGTAGCTGCTTCTTGGAACCTTCCTCAGTCCTCCAGCTCCCCCTTCCACACTCCTTGACAACCCTAGCACCTCTCCCCCAGCTCCCCCACACCCTCACACCCACCCCCTCCCAGCGGCAGCTGCAGCAGTGGGAGAGAAAGGAGGAGGAGGGGAAGGGGATCACTCACACCCATCACCCCCATACTCGCCACCCCCATATCCTCCGTTCCACGGCTGCACGCGCAGCAAGGAGACGAAGAAGGGGGGGGGGGGGGGGGGGGGGAGCAGGGGCGACAGAGCAGAACAGAGCGCACGAGGGCGCGGGTAGCAGCAGGGCGCACGAGGGCGCGGGCAGCAGGAGAGCGCACGAGGGCGCAGGCAGACCAGAGCGCACAAGGGCGCGGACAGCAGCAGAGCGGCAACAGGCAGCACAGGCACGGGCAGCAACGGGCGGCAACGGGCAGCACAGGCACGGGCAGCAACAGGCAGCACAGGCTCGGGCAGCAACGAGCGGCAACGGGCAGCACAGGCACGGGCAGCAACAGGCAGCAACGGGCAGCACAGGCACAGGCAGCAACGGGCGGCAACAGGCAGCACAGGCACGGGCAGCAATAGGCAGCACAGGCACGGGCAGCAACGGGCGGCAACAGGCAGCACAGGCATGGGCAGCAACGGGCGGCAACAGGCAGCACAGGCACGGGCAGCAATGGGCATCAACGGGCAGCACAGGCACGGGCAGCAACGGGCGGCAACGGGCAACACAGGCACGGGCAGCAACGGGTGGCAACGGGCAGCACAGGCACAGGCAGCAACGGACGGCAACGGGCAGCACACGCACAGACAGCAACGGCCGGCAACGGGCAGCACAGGCACGGGCAGCAACAGGCAGCAATAGGCAGCACAGGCTCGGGCAGCAACGGGCGGCAACAGGCAGCACAGGCACGGGCAGCAACGGGCGGCAACGGGCAGCACAAGCACGGGCAGCAACATGCAGCAACGGGCAGCACAGGCACAGGCAGCAACGGGCGGCAACAGGCAGCACAGGCACGGGCAGCAACAGACACCACAGGCACAGGCAGCAACGGGCGGCAACAGGCAGCACAGGCACGGGCAGCAACGGGCGGCAACGGGCAGCACAGGCACGGGCAGCAACGGGCGGCAACGGGCAACACAGGCACGGGCAGCAACACGCAGCAACAGGCACGGGCAGCAACGGGCGGCAACAGGCAGCACAGGCATGGGCACCAACGGGTGGCAACGGGCAGCACAGGCACGGGCAGCAACGGGCGGCAACGGGCAACACAGGCACAGGCAGCAACGGGCGGCAACAGGCAGCAACAGGCAGCACAGGCAGGCAGCCGTACCGAGTCCAGGAGTGGCGGCGCATACAGCTGTAGGGTCGGCGCCGTGGGCTGCTGCTGGGGCAGCTCGTGGGGTCCAGCGGCGGCTGCTGAGGTCCAGGGGCGGCTGCACCAGGGGCGGCTGCTCCAGGGGCGGCGCTGAGGGCTGCTGCTGGGGCGGCTGTTGAGGTCCAAGGGCGGCTGCTCTAGGGGCGGTGTGCTGCAAGGTAGGCCCGCGCGCGGCTGCAACGCTGGCGCGGGCGCAGGTGAGGCAGAGGCGGTGGCCAGGGGGGAGGGCGCCGCGACGAGTAGGAACGGCGCCCAAGGGGGGCCGCTACGAGTAGGGGCGATGCCCCAGGGGCGCCGCGACGAGCAGTGGCAACGCCCCGCGGGTCCCGCAGTGGCGTCAGGATGAGCAAGGCGATGCCATGCGGGTCCTGCAGGGGCGTCGCGACGAGCAGGAGCGGCGCCTCGCAGGGCGTCGCGAAGTGGAGGGTACGGGCGGGCAAGACAGGCTCGCGCGTGGACGTGAGGCAGGCGCGCAGGCGGCGTGAGGGCAGGCCACGCACGGGGAAGGAAGACGCCGTGCGCCAAAAATACGCCGTGCGCCCGAGGCGCGCGGCAGGACGATAGGCAGCGGAAGCAGAAAGGCAGCAGGAGGACGATACCTACTCTAAATACCATGTTGAGAAACTAAGCATAGGTGGGCTTAGGAGCCATAGTTTAGTTAGGTTCTTAGAGATCGAGTTTAGGGTTGACGAGAGTGTCGAGAAAGTTGGAAAGGAGAAATGTGGATTCACTATAGGTTTGCAAGAACATATAGCAAAGGAAACAAAGAAGTTGCACCACCAAACAAAGTTTATAATAACTACACTAACTACAGCTACAGGCAGTTACAGGTATATTCTGACATGGAGAAACAATCCGGGCAGAAGGTGAAGCGGATTAGGACTGATAGGGGTGGGGAGTTCCTTGGGGAGGAGCTAACTGCATGGCTGAAGAAGCAGGGCATCATTCGAGAGCTCACCACCTCTTACACACCACAATCCAATGGCATAGCAGAACGGGCAGACCGCACGGTATTAGAAACGGCACGGGCACTTCTCATTGAGTCAAGGATGGAGAATCCAAAATGGCCACATGCTGTGCGCCATGCCACGGTGGTTAAGAACAGGGTGTTCACCAACGTCGGTGGTGAGTCATGGGTCCCCATGGAGAGGTGGCTTGGGAGGAAGCCGCCCATCGACATGCTGCGGGTGTTTGGCTGCATGGCGGTGGCCCACATCCCAAAGGCCCATCGCCACAAGCTGGGTGCAACTGCTGCGTGGTGTGTGCATCTCGGGTTGGCTGCCAAAAGCAAGGGGTGGCTGCTGTGGGAGCCGAGCAAGGGAGTTGTGTTTGACAGCAGGGATGTCAAGTTCATGGAAGACATCACCTATGGGAGCTGGTCCAAGCAACCAAAGGAGCAGATTGTGCAGCAACTGCACCAGGCCACCATGGGGTTTGAGATTGACGAGGAGTGGATTGGGGGGGAGACTTCAACGGCACATGGGGAGGAAGGTGCACCAGAGCTTCCCGTGATCAAGGACGTGGAGCCAATGGCTGCACCAGAAGACCGCACCCCATAACACGTGTGCTTCCCCCCACCCTTCTCCCAAGGAGAACCCAAACTAAATCCCCCCCCACAGGATGTGGCCTTTCACCCATGATCGAAAGGCAGATGCGAGCAGCTGCATTGAAGCTGAGGGACTACAAAGTAGCCAGGGGAGAGCAGCAGCAACCCAATGCGTTACTGGTGCTTCAAAGCAGCTGTGACTCTGATGAGGAAGCGGAGGAAGAAGTCTACTACTTCATGGCATCCGCACCAACTCAGCCACTGACCATGGTAGAAGCACTTAACGGACCAGATAGGGACAAGTGGCTGGCGTCAAGAGATGCTGAGTATAACAGCCAAATGGAGAATGGGACTTGGGAGCTAGTGCCACTGCCCGAGGGAAAGAAAGCCGTAAGTTGTGGCTAGATTCCAAGGTTAAAAACTGACATCAAAGGAGCCGTGTCAGTTTACAAGAATAGGCTGGTGGCAAGGGGTTACCAACAAAAAAGAAGGGAGGATTTCAAGGAGACCTTTGCTGCATCTGCCAAGACACCAACCTTGTGTGTTCTCCTTGCCGGTGCAGCCGTGTGTGGGTAGGTGATAATCCAGATGGACATCACCACAACCTTCCTCTATGGGCTGATTGATGTGGAGGTGTTCATGTCGCAGCCGCCAGGTTATGAGGATGGCACCAGGCGTGTGTGCAAGCTGAAGAAGGCCATCTGTGGCCTCAAACAAGCACCACGCTGTTGGTACAAGAAGCTGTCTTCGATTTTGGAGGAGATAGGGTTCAGGGCGAGTGCATGTGATGAGGGCCTTTTCCTAATGGGGGAGAAGGAGAGCCTCGTTATGTTCCTGGTGTACGTGGACGACATCGTCTTGTTCGGGAGCAACAAGCAAGAACTGATGAAGGTACAGCAGAAACTGATGCAAAACTTCAAGTGCAAGACCCTGGGGGGGGCGAACTACTACTTGGGAATGCATATTGAGAGGGATATTAGCAATGGATGGGTGAAGCTGCACCAGGAGAAGTACATCAATGACATGGGGAGCAAGTATGAGATAGAGGTCAGAAGGAAGATTACCACACCCCTTCCATCCAGATTCAAACTCATCAAAGCCGGTGAGAATAAAGAAGTGGATCAGCGGGAGTAGGCTCGTTTTAGTCCATGGTGGGGAGCTTGCTCTATGCAGCAGTACACACCAGGCTGGACATCTCCTTTGCTGTGGGGCAGCTGGCCAGGGTGGTGCAAAATCCCACCAAGGAGCAGGTGGATGAAGCAGACCGAATCATCTAGTATCTGAACTCCTACCCCACCGTTGGAGTTCAGTACTCAGCCGTGGCTCAGATGAAGCAGAAGGGAGCAGAGGTTCTCAAGGAGAAGGGGGAGCAGCTCGGTGAAAGGGAGCTATTCCTCATGGGGTTTGCCGATGCAACATGGGCCTCGGAAAAGGAGGACATGTCCTCAGTGGGAGAATATGTATGCGTCATTGGTGGTGGGCCCGTGAGCTGGAGGTCAAAGAAATAGGAGGAAACGGCGGGCTCATCAGCTGAAGCAGAGTACATGTCGATGTACCACACAGCCAAGGAGCTGATTTGGCTAAAGAAGCTGCTGGAAGAGATAGGGCATAAGCAGAAAACAGCTACCCCGCTGTTTTGTGACAACTCAAGTGCCATCGCAATGTCCAAGAATGCTGTGCTGCATGGGCTCACCAAGCACATGCGGATCAAATGGCATTGGCTGCGGAAGGAGGTGCAGAGGAGATCAATCCAGCCCCTCTATGTGAAGACGCAGCAGTAGCCGACAGATTTTCTCATGAAGCGGTTGGCTGAAGAACCCCACTGGCGCTGTGCTAAGCTGTGCGGCATGAGTCTTAACTAGGCTCACGCAAGGGGAGTACAAGCAGGCGACTGCTTGACCGGGAGTTTGTTGGGTGCAAAATATTATTTTTGCACTGCAACCAGCCGCCTGCATGACATTATGCATTTTATGTGTGTTTTGTGTGCATTCGTTTTCGCATTTCGTTTCATGTGCTGTTTCTGTGGGATCATGATCAGTCATGGCGGAACATGACAAGTCATGTTCGTTCATGTCGGTTCATGTACCTTCAAATCATTCTTGCTTTTATTATTGGAATTCTACTACTACGTATTGACGAGAGTAGAAACACAACGAAGTGCTGCTGAAACTCTGCTCGACCAGAACCCTCACTCTACAAGCTACGTTGAGCATAACTACTCACTTGTTTTCTACGCCCTTGGCTATGAGGTGACATGCAGTCACACTCGGGGGGTTACAAGTGATGTTAAGTGTTGCCTAACTTACGCTCGTGAGCTGGGTTTAATCACTTCCGCATAGTACTTAGACATAACATACGTGGACCCGCAGATAATTGAAGCTGCCAAGGAGTGGGAAGTTCTGGAGAACATCAAGTAGTTGCAACAATTTCTAGGCTTCGCTAACTACTCAAACAAGCTTGTGCCATAGTACGCTAGGATAGCATCGCCACTTGCGAATGTACTGAAAAGGGATACTCCTTAGTCCTCAATAGCAAGCCATGAAGGAACTAAAGACAGCACTGAATACTGCTCTAGGACTCATCCTATCGGATCCAGAGAAATATTACGTCGTGGAAGCTGTCGCTAATGACCAGGCAGTTGGAGCCGTACTGATGAAGGATCATAGATGCGGTTTGCAACCCGTCGCTTATGTTAGTAAGAGGCTACATGGAGCTGAAGTAACTTACCCAATCCATGATAAGGAAGCCTTAGCGATAGTCACAACCTTCAAGGCGCAGAGGTGCTACTTAGAGGGAGCTAAGACCACAATATACACTGACCACTGCAGTCTCAAATACCAAGTTGCAGCCTACGCTCTTACCACGATAGGTGCGGTGGATGGACTTCATGGAAACATAGTTCCACTATAACATCGTCAACAAGCCAGGACTACACAACAAGGCGGATGCACTGAGCCGCCCAGGGCATATAGCAGGAGGCATCCAGCTCAACGGGATGAACCCTCTGGTCAAGGGTACTTCGTGGACGCAGAAATCTCTACAGCAAGGAAACAGAAACTGTTATAGTGGGAGAAAAACCTAGCAGAAAGAAAAGGTTTAGGAAAGATTTGGGTACCGAACTATGCCCCGCTTCGACAGATCCTACTAGAGGAGCTCTACGATATGGCATGCGTGGGACATTTCGCAAGTAACAAGACGTTAGCGGGAATAGCAAAATAGTAATACTGCCTCCGAATCACAGCAGACGTGCAACAGTTTGTCACCTCATGCGACACGTGATAGCT